CGGATCGATCGAAGAAGAATGGAAAACGTTTAAGGCTACATTCGAGTCTGTAACAACACCGTTTCAATATGTATGCTATTACATTGCTCTCCATGGATTAATAAGGAAACCCAAAAGCTGTTGAAACGTAGAAAACACTTCTTGTCAACAGGGCACACATCATTTAAGTATGAATACCGAAAAATCTGGGATATATGTGAAAACACTATAGCTAGATGCCGTACTATTTACAAAAGACAGTTGGGATATGATAGCCGTACTTGCCCCAAATGATTGTTTTCGTACTTTAAACGGCGAAACAAACGTAGTGATGGTGTTCTCCCGTTACTGTCACACGAAATTTCTGATTTACTAGTTGAATCAGATTAGGCAAAAGCTGAAAATTTTTCAAACTATTTTAGCGAAGTCTACTCTACGTTCATTGCAACAAATACTTGTCCCAATCACACCAAGATACCAGCCATAGAACATGTACATGTGACTGAGGAAGCTGTTCTTCCATTAATCACTAACCTCAAACCTTGTAAAGTATCGGGAACTGATATATTGCATGCACAGCTGCTGTCATCTCCTGAGGACATCATTTCATAACCAGTCGTGACGCTCTTCAGCATGTCACCGTCACTCGATCAACACCCTAGAGATTGGAAAGATGCTATAGTCCGTCCGATACTAGAGGATGGTTAGAGAAAGACTACATCCAACTACCAACCTGTCAGTCTAACCAGTATAGGCGTTAAGTTACTCGTAAAGATAATTCGGATCAATTTACCAAGTAACATAGGTTAGTATAATCTATTAACTGCCGATTTCGAAACAAGAATTCATGCTCAACCAACTTTTTATGAGAGAGGATTGGACAGCAGCATTAGACAACGGTATGTTTGTCGATGTGATATTCATAGACTTTAGCGAAGCGTTTGACAAGGTTTCACACCTAGGTTTTATACAGAAGCTCTCGAGCTTTGGAATAAGAGGTGCTGTGCAGGAATGGACAGGAAACTTGTTATGTGACCACAGGCAGAGAGTAAGAGTTAATGAGACGCTATCCCAATGGAAGCCGTTCAAAAAAGGTTTACCCAAGGTATTATCTAAGTTCCCTTATCTTTCCTTCTGTATACCAATGAATTACCGCGATTGATTAAGTCGTCGACATTGTTTGAGTGTGTTTTCACAATCTGGGGAACAACAAGCTGATAATTTTGATCTCCAAGCTGACCTAGACGAATTCATTAAACGGGCTCGAGGTTGGTGCTTGGAATTTAATTCTGGGAAGAGTGTATTCATGCATACCGGACACGGTAATGGTTACTGTTGATTGTGAATTTCTCCTATGCGTTCAGGAACATAAAGACTTAGAGGCAATAACAAGTCACGAATTGAAAACAACTATGCATTGCGGCGCAACTAGTGCTAAAGAGTTTCGTACGTTTTGGTCACTTCACCGATCAATCAAATGCTTTGATGAGGAGATATTCCGAAGTTTATATCACAGAAACGTAAGACCACAATTAGAGCACTTTTTTCAAGAAACTGGCCTATGTATAATCAAGGATACTAACTCACTTAAGCGTGTTCAGCTTGTGGGAACAAAATCAGTGATGGCTCTTTCTATAACTTTCTTACAATGAACGCTTAAAACGCTTAGACTGTTTCCCCATATCGTATCGCAGGATGCGAGGTGACCTTATATTGGCATTTTATATCTTTAATTACGACTTGAGTGTTCATATGTCTTATCGTTTTGCTCCCTCCAGCACTAATAATCTCCGAGGTCATAGCAAGTAGGTTCACAAACCGCGATCTAATAAACTTGAAGGGGACTTCCGTTTTTTCATCGAGTGGTCAGGGACTGAAACGCCTTACCCAAACAAATGGTATCAGCCCCATCAGTGAGTGTTTTCAAGGAGAAGCTGGACCTTCACTGGAAGGCAAACATTCAGGATTAATGCAGGTCAACCAACCTACTATCCCTATTACTGAAGACAAGTCTATTATGTGGGACCTTAAAGAATGGTTTGATGTAATCGACGTATAAAACATCCACTGATTTTCTATTATCTAGTGACTCTATTCAACTCTCAAAACGTTTGTTATTTCTGCTACTCGAAGTACAAATTTTTGAATTTCAGCGGTACTTAGTCTTCAGTCATCGTGGTCGTTGTATCGTAATGTTTTTAAATTTGACTCTTATAATCGTTACCTACTTTCGTCTCTCATGACTATAATTGCCAAATGATTGAAAGTCTTGTATATAATTAAGAAGTCAATCCAGGTTTTTGAGAACTATTTTGGGGAAAATTTGATCCGTTTTTTCCCAAGCAACCAATAAAGGGGAAATAAAGCGTAAATAAAGGGGAAATGTCGCTTTTTCCCCTTACATCGTGTATTTAGGGGAAATTTGTCGACAATTGGGAGATTTTTGGGAAGCTGCCATAGAAAAATTTAGTGAATATTCCGGGAAATGGCACTAAAACCCCAACATTTCCACAGATCTGGGGAAATTTCCTACCTTTTGGGGAAATTCGCCTGTATTTATTGATAAAACCCCAACATTTTGCGCAATTTCGGGGAAATTATTCAAAATATGTCGTTTTAACGCGATATTTCTTCACTATTTTCTACAGGTAACAATAAAAAGCCTGACGATTCAATAATAAGTACCCAAAGGTTCCTACTCATGTATTCCCTTTTTTCCTGTCAACTTTGCACAGTAAACGCAATGCCGAAGCAATTTGACTACAATTCATAACGAGAACCGGTCTGTCGCCGCAGTTAAAAGACTGACGTGTTGTACATGGAAATCTTTATCCAAGTTTAATAGTGTACATGGGTGTGAAGGACAGGTTCAGCGACAACATAGACACTTCAAGTTTCGAATTCCCATTAAAAACACATGAGGAATTGCGTACTTTTGAAGCTGTTTTAAAGGAGGTCAATTCTCCTAATTCTGACATGACCGTGACATTTGTTTGCTTACTAGAGAGTACTGTTTTTTCTTTTTGTAGAACACTGTAAGTTCAACATCAAACTAATGTACTTATTCAAAACGCATGAGCAATTGCTAAGAATTGGGAGAAGTAATGTATTAATGGAAAATTTGTACACTATTAAACTTGGATAAAGATTTCCATGTACAACACGTCAGTCTTTTAACTGCGGCGACAGACCGGTTCTCGTTATGAATTGTAGTCAAATTGCTTCGGCATTGCGTTTACTGTGCAAAGTTGACAGGAAAAAAGGGAATACATGAGTAGGAACCTTTGGGTACTTATTATTGAATCGTCAGGCTTTTTATTGTTACCTGTAGAAAATAGTGAAGAAATATCGCGTTAAAACGACATATTTTGAATAATTTCCCCGAAATTGCGCAAAATGTTGGGGTTTTATCAATAAATACAGGCGAATTTCCCCAAAAGGTAGGGAATTTCCCCAGATCTGTGGAAATGTTGGGGTTTTAGTGCCATTTCCCGGAATATTCCCCAAAATTTTCTATAGCGGCTTCCCCAAAATGGGGATATTGGGTTGGGTTTACACAGATCTCGAGACCTCTTTTCAAAACAGCTTACATTAGTGTACAACCCTTTCTTTATATCATAACTTTATGATCCATATCTATCTAATTATAAATTTATGTCAACATTCAGTGCAACTTATATCATGACTCAGAAAACTTTTCATTGGTCGGCAGGCAATAACTATAGCAACCAGACATATAAAGGTTTAACACCGTGTATAAAATTTCCGTATACCCCATATTTACCCGATACTATATCAGGTAAAAGGTTAACCTGAATCAATTTATTTGGAATATATTGAATCGTGACGGTAGAACTAGTGGAATTTACTTTAATACAGCTATGAATGGTTCAAGCATTCGGGCTTTTTCTATGGAAGTTGATAACAAAAACATAACAGTTAAGGACGACTCTTGTTATATGGAAAACCAGGTTGTATACTGCAAGTATTTGCAGGTAAGTGAGTAGTCTAGACCCAAATATCAATTTTTAGAAAAAATATTGTAGGTGGTATATTATCTGTTGTTGAAATAACCTCCAGAGAATTCGATTTTATTCAGTACTTAACCGTAGCATCTGCTGCTGTGGGTACGTTCAATGAGGATGGTTACTGCGACAGTTTTATATAAAAATATAACTAGCCTACACTTTCAATAAATGCAGTGAAGCATCTAAATTATGTATATCATAGCTTGTAATGGATTCACCTAAACCCAAAACTCAGTCTATAATACCAATGTTTTATGCCTGAAAATTTGATCCCATGAATTAGCGTAGTTTTTATACATACCTATAAAGAATCTAACGTAAGTAAACTATGATATATCATTCACTTCCTGTTTCTGTGATGCCTTCATTTCATATTCATCCACTTTTCTTGAAACTTGAAGGGATATTGACGGAAGTTGACGATCTTGACTATTTCTCCCTTATTTATCCATTCGTACTACTACATATCTAGATAAGGTGTTAACTAAACCAATTATTTTGACATCTATTTGGTTATATAGCCACAAAATATATTATGCTATCTGACTTAAAGAGACTTCGTCCACAAATTCTTTATCGTGCTTTTATTTCTAAGGTGGTTATCTTGTTTTGATACTTTAAAATTTCTTTTCCAAGAAATTATTTCTGATTGTAGAAGTACTTATTGAATATTTTCGACTCCTCACTTTTTTCTATTCACAAACCACTTAGTGGATTCAAGTAACTTTCATTAGTTACAAAAATGTTTCACGGAGTAACTAGGTGTTATTCCGTTTTGTACATTGGAACGCGAAATTTGGCCGTGTTGATTTGACTTGTAAAGTATACAACTTTCAACTAGCTGGTCTCTAAGCTTTATTGACAACTTTTACTCAAAGTCTCAACATAAATTTTCTTTTCTGACCCTATTTTGTTTATTGTTAAACCCAAACTAGTGTACCAACTGACAAGGATCACAATATTTCGTCAAATTATTGTAAATTCACATGGAGAATGTTTGGCCAGCGAAGTACGTAAGTCTTACTCAAATTAATATTTATTGTACTTTAGATTCTGTTTACACTCCCTGGCCAAGGTCTGAAGAATTTTCGAAATGTTCTCATTGTTTAAACACTTATTTCACAATGTCTTCTTCTCGGCATATTTACTATGTCGCTCGTGAAATGTTTATCGCCTGTCTTTTGGCAGGTGTTGGAATGGTAGTTGCGGGATGTTATATTGATATGCTGAAGTCCTCCGTATGGTCATCGTTAATAATTTACATTTTTGTAGGGCACTTTAACTTCGAAAGAGGAAAGTATTTTTGAGATTATTCCACCAATTCTTGGACTGAAAGGAAATTTAGAAGTTGCTCTTTCCTCTCGATTAGCTACTGTGGTTTGTTTGACAATATGTTTTCCTAAAACTTTTAGGTTCATTTTCGAAGAAAGTTTAACGAACTATCTTTCTGGTTGTTCACAACTACTCTGGCTTTTATACTTGTTAAGCGTCTAAATTTGTTATATATATCTTAATAGGTTCTTGCTGTGTTTGCAAGCACAATTATACCTTTAGTGGTAATAACGTTACATAAATCATCGGGTACATCTCATTTCCCTGTTGATCTTGTTCATCTTATCTGCATTTCATCAATGACTTGCATTTGTGCCACGTGTTTTATAGGCAAGTGTTCAATTTCTATTGCTCAAAACTTTTGAAGGCGTTGTTGTTTACGCAATAGTACGTGCTTGCGTCTTTTGCGGAGCGAATCCTGATAATGTTGCTCCACCCGCAGCCGCCGCTTTGGGTGATCTTGTGACTGTTTTGATTATTTCACATGTGAACTATTACTTTATCATGCGTAAGTTTTTTATTTGTATTTATTTCATACAACTGATCTACTCTTACTCACTCCTCAATGCAGTAGTTTATACAAGACACCCGAATAGTTTATAAATTGTATTCAGTCACTAATAGGCTTCTCAAAGTGTAGATTTTCCAGTTTTTACTAATAAACGAACAGTGTTGCTTAATATGTAGCAATAGCTTCCCGTAAAATTCACCATGTCAAAATGGTGAAAGTTCTCTATGGCCAGAGAGTTTCCCGAGTTCGATTGTCACGTCCATTTTGATCTGGATGCCTCAATTTTCGTAAATATTTGACCCAAATAAATATTTCTGATAAATGTAAGTCGTCACGCTTTTGATTTTAATTGTCAAGTAAAATTTGAGCCATCTTGACAAGTTATATGAAAGCTTTGAATTTAAATGTACTTATTCACAAATCTTGGTGATTTTTTATTTTAAAATTATTGTTCGTATACATTTGGGGTTATCCCCATATATATTTATTCTATTACAGTGGTCACCAACACCATTTTTCTAATGTTCTGCGTCTTATTTATTTCCATTTGGTTTCACACATCTTGGGAAGTCATATCTGACTTAGTGATTATTCCATTAAGTACTGTCGGACGAAAAAAATATTTTTCGATTCGTTCTTCATCAAAACCGTACACTAATACATGGGTTTTTAATTAGATATCAATCAATACCAAATAAATAATTGTACATCATAATTAATCCGATTGTACAATCGCCTGTTTTTACTCCCAACATAACTGGCTCCATAAAAGCAGTTGGAACAGTAAGTATACTTAAAGGCAGTGGGACTAGCCAGTTGTTTTACTTGAGCGCACTTTTGGCTGGCCAACGAAGGAAGGGTATAATCTTGCAACATAAAATGTTCGGATTTCTGAGCATCATCCTGCGTCGTTGGTCAAGGAACAAAATAAAACAATGGGAACTCTATTCTGGGACATTTAGTCAATACCGATCGCCCCTTTGGCAAACATTTTGCTTTATATATATGTAAACCAACAGGTAAATGCAAAAACTAAGTTATCGCCTTGGTAACTGAATAATCTGTGATTGAATTTCTAAGAATACAAAGTAATGTTACGCTAGATTAATCCACAACTTATCATAGAAGCGCATTTACTAATATTATGAAAGCAGAAGATTCACAATCATCAAAAACAATAGGTGCTTTACTGAATCATGCTGTGTCATTTTAGCAGTTATTCACACTTCATGACAGGTGATTGAAATATCTTGTAAAACGTACGGGAATGGTTCAACTGGTCTGCAGCAGCGGTCATGTTCCTAGCGATTAGACTTCCACTAAGGTTGAAATAGCTGCACTGAATTTAAGACAAGACGTAGCAACAAAACCTGACTGTCGGTCTACATAGTTTATCGGAGATCACGTTCTGGTGTCATTCCATTTGAGGTAATAAATAATGTATGGGAATCAGTAATATTCTCTAGACTAATTTCGATCCTTGATCATTTAGTTTCATAACAAAACGCAAAACACTTTAAGAGAACCACAAGGAAATCATTTTACTTAAATTGTCATCATCTGTGGCTCCAGATGTTAAATCACCTATTATGGAGTATTTTGTGAGGAGCTTCCCTCAATTTAAGTCACGTTTACAAGTAGATTTTGATTTTTAACTCACTCAGAACCTCTCTTCAGAATTTATTTGTTGTCTCAAATAGTTTTAGTTTGCTAAATGTTTTTTTCTGCGAGGTATAATTAAAAGTAATGTCGGATCCATCCATTGTGAAACTAACGACATCGTTCAAACCTGTCTCTTAAACATTTTCATCTTGTTACAGATATTACAACCAGCGTATTCGTATAAGTCCCGGAGAAACTTCATTATTTTCTTTTATCTCAATGATTGTTCATAATCGTAGTAAAATAATACAAATTCACTGGATATTTGTCTATGCAAAAGGTACATTCTGTGTGTTCTTATTTGAAAAATCTATGACATCATGTTATAGCCTTGTGGTGGTTGGTTCTCTACTATGCATCAGGGATAACTCATCTCTCATAGACTGCGTCCCCGTTAATAGTAATTGACATCTCACTAAGTCAATCAGCAAATATGTTCCCCAACTATTTACTAAATACATTGTTATAAATACCTCGACTAATCAGATTACTGAATTAATGGAATAGCAACTTCCTGATTCCGCTTCAGAGTCAGATTCTGCGCCTCCTGTTTTGATTTAGCATAATAGTACCACACATTATATATGGATCATAGCCTATTGCACAGTCTAATACTTGGTTAGTGAGTAGTATTGATTCACTAATTACACTTCAATCCCCTTAACTAATAGTTTCTATGATCAGTCGATCATGTATATAAAGGTAATTTTGCAACGTCCAACTAATTTTTAATTATATATGATGTCAGGTATATCACGTATATCACTAGGTAAGGGAATCTATCAAAATATTTTTCACCTTTAATTTATTTTTGGTAATGTTCGTGTAGATCCAACTTTGACTGTCACCGTTGCCATGTGCATGATTTCTGTGGTTCTTATTTTGAGTATATCTTATTTATTATACTATTCAAATGTCAACGTATCTGGTGATCTTCTCAGTCTTATTATTACACCTAATACTTTTAAAGAAACTATCATTCCTTTAACTCTTGCAATTATCATGAGTAGGTAAGTTGAAAGTAGAAATTTGCTTGAAAAGTCATAAACCATATGGTATTTATGATGTAAAGATTTTGTGGTTGTTCTACTAATCTAGTCCATATAGCTTCTTTTCGATTTTTATTTATTTATTTCACCACAGATATTGGTACAAAGAGGCACCAAATACATATGCGCCACACAAATCTCATTCGATATGTGTGAGGGTTGTGATACTGCCCGGGTGCTCAGACCGAAGCAGGTGGTTATCCTAGGGGGCCACACCACGAACCTTTGACCTAAAGGTCTAACCCACAAGGCAGTGGAGCATCGTAAGGAGATGCAATCCCATGGTAGCCGGTGACCAACGATTGGTTCATACGCCATTTGTTCCCTCAGGATACTGGAGCCCATGTGCACCATTGGTTTGAGATCCGGTTAAAGCGCCAGACATTCGCTTTTCGCCCTCTCATTTTCGTAAACAACACCCGCGCCATGAGAAGGCAATGAGTAGAACTTCCCTGGCAGAGGCTATATACGATGTAAATGTTATTTGCCTACTGACTACGTACATAAATGTTATGACTGGTCGTCAATTGTTATATCAGAAACGCTTATTAATTCTACTTGAAAAAGGAGGAGTCACCGCGATTCCCACGACGCGAAGTAAGAACACCAAGACTGGTACAAATGAAGGTTTACTAACCCCAAAACACGACAACCTCAGTCAAAATTACGTTCATATATTGATTGTACACCCATTTTGATCATTAATTAGGATAGAATCATATATATGAAAAGTGCCCAGAGTTACAAAAAAGTATATGTCGCATGTCATGTTGAACATAGTTCACGTTGATTTAATACAAGAATATCATAGCTTCAACAAACATCACGCTCAAATGAGTTAATGTTATAACGAATAAATTATCATACTGGAAAAACAAAACAAATGCTACATTGAGTAATTATCACACTGAACTAAACATACAGAAGTAATGTTAAACAAAATCACAATGTATTTTGTTTTTTAATCCCATCATATCAGTAATTTTTTTCACTTGTGATAGTTTATTAGGTATATGTAGGTGGCATAGTATGTCTTCTCAAATAAAAACATTTCTTAATAATGCAAATTTCGGATTAGTAAAAGTGTCTTTCAGAAATAAAATTAGTTATCAAATTCAGACTCCATCATAAACACCGTAGGATTTGACCCAATCGTAGTTCAGTCCAAGTTACCGCACTACGTTACTTCAGTAAGATGAAACTAACATGATACACATCAAATGAGTCGAAGTGATAGTGATGTGTATGTGAATGAATTATACTAAATATATGGAATATAGTTAGTAAAAAGAAATGAATTTGCGGAAAAAATAATATTTAAACTCAAAACCTGTGAATAGATGATGAATGAATCTATCTTCTCCAGTGTGCAACTGTTAACTAACGTTAAATTCCTTAAGATGCACGTTTCACTTTACTGTTTACAGCTATAGATTCTCTCATTAGTTCATATATTTTCGATCAAGTTTTCACGCGTAGTTTATTCCATCATTCAGATGTAATCTAAAGTATACTCATAAAGTGATATAAATTATCTGTTATAGAAAAACTTTATTTTTTAAATAAAGCCATAAATGTCCCCGCTTCATTAGACTTTTTCTGTAATTTACTCAGTGATGTATTTGTTTCCAAATATTGACTCTTGATGGTTTATACTAGTTGATGAAGTAAGAAATATCTACATTTTGTTTAGAAAAAACTGCTAGATACTTCTGGATGTGGTGAAAGTTAGAACTGTTGTATATTTCCCCTCTGTATTCGTATAAAAGCGCGATTAGCTTCTTGTAGTTCAAGCGCCTCTGTTCATGCTTCCTATTGTTTGAGAAATCTTGGCAATCTTTAACTGTTTTCATCTTATTCCCATTCTTTTCCTGCATAATATTTTAAAAAAAATTATTGTGTTAGGTAATATCGAACAATTTCTTTCTTTTGTAAATGAAACTTTTGACTTTACTAGCATTTGTGGGAATATATCCGCCCGATTTCTGATAGATTGGCCCATTATTGCGCGCCTTCAAGTCCCAATAAATGGTAATTCATCTTACATATACTTTTGTGAACTTGTTTTAACCACATTGTGTGCAAAAGCGAGAATAATACCATTTTTATATACTCATACGTACTCCATACAATGTAGTTCAGTATTTGAACCTCCTATTAACTGCTTGCAGTCAGACCTAAAACTAAACATATGTTGTTTGTAGTCTTGTGAAAAGATTTTATACCTAAAATAACGCTTGACTTAATCATACTAATAAGTATCTAATTTGGAAAACAACTGGGCTTTTCCTGCATTGTTTGAAATTTATTTTGCAGTAAAATGATAATGTCCCTATTTTCAGAACCTTTATCATTTTTTAGATCAGTAGTAGTTCCACAAATTATGAAACTCATCTCATCTTAATAGTTTACATAAGTTAGTCATCACGCGACTTTTCTATTAAATGTTGCTTTTTACTCATCTATTAATGTACTTCGTAAATAATGTGTCACGCAGTGATATGTTCAACTGTGAAAAGAAAAAACCTACAATAATTGTATTGTATAAGTTGAACTTTCTTCGTAGTTATAAGTTTTAGGATTGATTTGTGACAAATGCGGCAGTTCTGTTGGATACATTTCTAGTGTAACTTACCATGTTGAAATGTATATGATAGTGATTGATTTAACTGTTTAGTTTAGAGGTATAGGAAACTAAATGTCGTAGTTTGCTTACATCTAGTATAGTTAATCATCAAAGTAACTTCTTGCGCATAGCAACAAATCTATATTTAAAATATTCGTAATACTGATTGTTGTGTTTAATAAATGCAATTTTGCATTGTAAATAATCGCTTATGAGTATATAATTTATCGAGTCATTTGTTAAGTGCTACAAATCAATCACATGTACAATAACAATAATTTTTCTTGAGCTTTTGTCATCTAAGAATATAATATTTCATGATACATATAGACAGTATAACGTTGTTAGTAAACGTTTATTCTTTTTATGTACATAACGTTATGTAATTTAAAGTGCGATAACCATAAGTAACGACAATAGTGATAATTCTGTTTTATTTGTTAGTATAGTTTCATACTATTCCAATATCTCATACCCACCGGTAAGCGTATTAATGTTCAAAATAGCAACCATTGTGATTAGTATTTCAAAAGTTAAGAAACTGATTACGGAGCCTTAAAAAGTACGTCAATGTCTAAACGGAAATCAGTGTTTTTTACATTTAGGTATTCATGAAATATTAAGACAACTTTTCAGTACTTTGACATTAAATATTTGTAAGACTTGTATTGTTATTTGAAATGTATATTATCCTCAAATATTATTTTGACTTAAAATAATAATTAGTAATTTTTTGGGCGCTATTCTACAGAGATCGAAATTACATAACATTGATTTAAGTTTTTAAGTAATTCTATTTAGTGGCACATTTGCATCACTTGTGAATTATATTTTGGTTTCATAGTATTGTGATGTGTGCTACTGATGTTAACAGATACAAGTAGCATGTATCGTCAATCAAAACTGAAATGCCTCGAGTCATAAAGTTGAGAAGATCGAAGAAATAGAACGAGAACAAAGAATCATTGGTGTACAAACGAAACAATGAAGTCTGAGACGATTGACTGATACTTGCAAAAGGAACAGTCAAGTTTGAGACAATTGATTGAATTGCAAATAAAGTATTTACTGTATGGTTCTCAGATTTTACTAAGATGTTCTGCTCGATTGTTCCCACTTATGTTCTCGCTCACTACAGTATTATCAAATTTGTGTCATTAAACGGTAAGGTTATTAAAAATCTAGTCACTGTTATGAACAGTGACAGAACAGAAGGGGTTAAAATTATCCTATGATAGCCATACAGGGATTAGCTTGACTAATATAGCATCTAAAATACTAGCCTCAATAATCATCGGGCGCCTATCTAAGATTAGTGAACTGCAAAAACGTGAAAATCAGATTGGCTTCAGACCTGGTTGTGGTTGCATCGACCACATATTCACCATTCGTCAGGTTTTAAAACACACATGTTTATCGGCGTCCGACAATGGTGGTCTTTCTTGACCTACAAGCAGCATTTGACTCTGTTGACTGAGAGGTTGTGTGGCAGTGTCTGTCATTGAAAGGCGTACCTCAGAAGTACATAAACTTGTGAAGGCTCTTTACTTGAACACTACTGATCGAGTCTGAGCTTATGGCGAACTGTTATCTGATTTTGCAACATCAAGTGGTGACCGGCAAGGCTATTCACTATCTGCAATTTTGTTTAACTTAATTATAGACCTACTGCTGGGAATAACGCTCTCGTCCTCTGAATTTTCAGGAACTCATCTCCTACCAGGAGGTCCATATATCGACTTAGAATACGCAGGTGATATAGTCCTGTTTGATGAAGACGCTGATCAAATGCAGAGTCTATTGACAGCACTGAGCGACCATGTCAGGATGTTTGGGGTGTGTTTTTCTGCCTCTAAATGCAATTTGTTGCTCCAGGACTGACCTGCATCAACACCTGAACTAAGGATAGGAAGTGAAGTAGTCGAACGCGTTGACAACTCTACTTATCTTGGAAGTCTGACCAGCCCAAATGGGTTGGCTTCTGACGAAATCTCAGCACGGATTCAGAAAGCTCTTTCGGCTTTTACCAACTTACGTCATCTATGGCGAAGGCGAGATATCCGTCTATCTGTCTATTAAGGGACGAGTATACTGCGCGGCAGTCCGTTCTGTTTTAATTTACGGCTGCGAAACGTGTTCATTAAGAGTGGAAGATACTCGTAAGCCACTAGTATTTAACCACAGATGCCTCAGAAATATTGCTCGCATCTGCTGGGATGACCGGATAAGTAATAGTGAGGTTAGATGCATAGTATTCGGGAATGATGATAAATCAGTTAATGAGGTCGTGAATCTTCATCGACTGAGATGGTTGGGCCACGTGTTATGTATGCCTGGACACCGATTACCATGGCGCACAATGCTGACTAGTGTTGGGGACGGTTGGGAGAATGTTAGAGGCAGCCAAACCAAACGTGGCACCAGTCCATGAAGTAACTAACATCTGGTGTGGGCCATGTTGGTAGATGCAGACTACTTTGTCGGGGTCTGCGGGACTTTCGTAACCAATGGTTAGAGACTGGGTGACATGAATGAGAACCGATCACAATGGCTTAGGTGTATGCACTCTCTTTCTTCCCTCAAACTATGAGATTAAAATTGCTTTATATCTTTCTTTCTACGAACTAATTCTTTCTCCCTGTACCATATCATTATATGCCATCTTTCTTTTATATATTACCACCATTGAATTAGCTACATCTGTGAATTCGGTGTTCATCTTGTGCTAATGCGGTATGGCAATTTGGACCGATGGATATATGTGTCTGGTCCTACGTTGTAGCTGACTGGCACACAAAAATGTATTATTTGAAGGAAGATTGTGCTCAATCATACTTCCACTTTACGTTAGACAATAAACTATCCGTTGCTACTTTCTCAAGGGACTCACTTTTGATGTACTTAGACTTCATTATTTAACTTGTGACAGTTGACTACTAGTTCCCTATTTTATTTTGAACTATCTGAGGAGTTTCGATCCTCGCTTTCGCTGTATTCCAGATGATTCATTGACTTTTGTCCAATGATATTATGTAGTTATAAGCTCGTATTTTTGCGTTGTCATCGTTAGGATGTTTTGACTGTAACGCCGAATTGTCGTGATCCTTCCATACTTAAACCGAATATTGAGGTAGTAAAACTAATCGCAATTGTTACTCTATCATAAGACTGAACTATTCCGATACTTATGCAAAAAAGATATTTAATTCAGCTTCCATCTCAAGAATGTATCGTTATCTATTCACTTAATTAACTCTAATTATAAAGCACAAAAGCTCTAATCCTATATCATCTATTGTTGTTATTTTTCATAGTTTAGTACAATAGTGAGGATGTTACGAATGTTATTACATCCAAAGCAATCTGTAACTGAATATTACAAATATTTATGTACCACACATATTTATCAACTGTAAGCTTTTTTAGTTGAAGTGATCGTTTAATCACCAATTATGCTTTGTACAGCCTATGATGGTGTTAAATAAATTATTAACTTGTATTGATTTTATATTCTCACATATTTCTCTATGCTTTTTTGTTTGCGTGTAGGTGTGGGGGGGATTTTTGGTTCAATGTTAATTAGCAGAATGACAACACGCCTGCATTCAATAACTTGTTCAAAAAGCCTCCTCTGAAGGAGTCTTTTATTGTCTCTCCAACATCTGGTCTAGTCACAGTTGAAAAAGTCAACACTGTGAACTCTGATAGAAAATCTACAACTCATAATTCACATTTCTACACATCATCTCAGTCATTCGAAACATTGGGATCCTGTAGAAAAGTACTTGAAATTCATACTGATGTTTCACGGGTATCTAAACTTATCAGATTCCTGTGTGTCCCGTTACATTTTGCCTTAACTTTAGTCAGTTTAACTGTCAGTTATTATTTAAAACAGGATAATTCTCCAAAGATCACATCACCTCTGCAGTTTGACATTTTATTTCCTTACCTCATCGCTGGATTCATACAAGTAAATTATCTTCTTATTTGCTTGCTGATTACTATATATAACTGGAGATTAGTCTATTTTTTATTGAATCAAGTTCCCTAGACCTATGTTTTTGCTAAAACTTATCTTAACAAGGATCAAATAAATATCCGATTATGAAAATGCTATATGTACTACCAATATTCTGAATCTTAAGTATTTTTATCTATCATTTTCGTATTTCCTCTGGATTTATCACTGTATGTGGGTTAGTAGACCCTGCGAAATCGCTAAAAACGAGTGAGATTGAACAAACTACAAGACTCAATGATACAAAAGGAGGTCAATAATAATGATAATCCATTATATAGAAATCTATTGAAAAAGTAACATTAAGATTATTATCAAACAACTTGAATTGGTCAATAGCACACTAAATTTTTTTCTTTTAATTTCTGATCAGTGGATTTCCTTGGATAATTAGTTCATACCGTTAGAGAAGACTTAATTCATCAGTTTACACAGCTGAAACTGTTAATAACTTTTAATGACATTCTTATAAAACTAGCTAATTATTGATTAAGTTTCCAATCATTTTTGGTGTAATTTAAAAACATCTAACGTCGATCATTTTGTGTACACTTTCAAAGGACATTTTAAGGATACATTTGAATAAAGTGAAATAAACTGTTCAAAATCTGAAAAAACAAAGTTATGACATTTGGACTATTGGGTTTAGTGCACGACTATGTTTCCTAAGGTCTCTAGTCACTATTTTGTATTGTTTCTAGAACTTCATTAAGGTAGTCTACACTCATCGACACAAACCAGACTAATAGTCAGTACTTTCTTCATAGACTAGTGCTATGTTCACAACCAAAACATCTTATTCAAAGGGCGCACAACAGCTCCAACATCCTCAAAATGAGCTACAATTATTAATTTGGCTAGCATTGGGCATCAGGTTACACAGTAACTTAGTATATGTAACATATAACTCAGTTGTTTCAATCAATCCAGATACATCACTAAATGTAACCCAATTCATACAGCTTATAAGCTCTAGCTTAATCATATGTTTTACATCTCCTAGGTGTCCAATTAGTGAATGTCTTGCTTTTACCCTGCAAGATCGATGGTGGTGAATGTTTTTTTCCTTTTGAGGTCATTGGGAGTGCACTAACAAAATTTCCTACAACCAAGTGATTCATGTATAATACATAGAAAAATATAATTGTATTTTTTTCTTGTTTCTCTCGTACTATTACTTTTAGATATGCATACTTCTCGAGTTTGCGAAATGGATTGTTTTAAAACTTTGGAAATATTTACATTCTACAAAACATTTAAACTCTCATGGTAATGTTATATCCTTAGCATCAATTGATTTCTCCGCTATAGCTGTCACTACCGGTGCAGGTGATCTGATTGGAACAAGTTTATTCATTCTATTTCTATCTATTAGTAAATGGATTATAAGCGGTTGATTTTCTTTTCGTTTTTTTTTGTGTGATCATTCTGTACAATTAGTTCTTTGATGCTTATATTTTGTTCTTTGTTGTATATATGAAAATATTATTCTCCTTCTTTCATATTAACATGATTGATATAACAGTTATTTGGATGAATTAAATCTTCTATACTTATGTAATATCTTATAAAGTTTTTTACATCATTTCAGTGTAATTTTCAGTAATTTTTTCTACATGTTTATCTTAATGTCGAGAAACATTTAAAGGGAATATTGTCACTAAATAAGTTGTGATACGTTTTTTGTGTATTTTGCTAATATTATAAGGTTTAGAAGTTTATATTTTCAACTGGATCTTGAAGGAGTTTTGTGATGGTAATGGTTCTTTCCTCTGATTATTAGAATTTGTTACTATTCAATTATAATGTTTCTGTTGAAATTATAATCATTCATTTGTATTCTCTCTATTTTCCTCTCCGTTTACAAATATTCCACTGTGTTTATTTATACCTGTTGATCCGATTAAATCTAAAATTTTTAAAAATATAATTGAATTATGCAAGAATTTATTATTTCTGATTAGATGTATAAACTATATTTCTCAGTTTAGCATTGAACAACAACTTAACCGGTTGTAAAGACTCATTCAATAGTTTTATTATTGGTCGATAATTAGAATAAGTATTAGTATATGTACAGTATTTCATATTGGTAATTCGTAAATTGTAGTTATTTGATTTGAGAGAATTTGTTTTAATTTTACGAAACTCTGTGTTTCATCTATTTAATTTATTTATCTGCTTTACAAGTGTAGACATGTTGATGTATATTCGACTAACTATCTACTACGATTAAACATCTAAGAGAGTATGAGAGAAAAAAGAATATGTGGTTTCAAAATGGATTGGGTAAATAAATACTGTTGTTTATTTATTTTGACTAGATTGTTTGTTAATAGCTAATTACTATAATCAATTATTTATTAAGAGAACAATCAAGTTTTGTTTACTCTAGTACAGTAAAACTGGTCATTTTCTTACCATTGGAATATACGCCTTAAATAATATAAATATATACATGCATATACATAATAAGTCAAATGATTTCGCCTTTTATTTCGTGTGTGAATTATTTTCACGCATTGTCTCTGTGTATATTGTAAACTTGCTTATGTTTTAGTTTTTTTACAAAACTAGACAACCGAACCCAAAAAATCAATAGATTATTATCATCAGTTTATGGGTTGTGGAGATTGTTAAGTTTTTGATTGGAATCATGAGTCAATTGAAGCTAAACCACCATGGAAAACCTGGAAGCACTGAACGGCCGTTTCGTCCTAGTATGGGACTCCTAAGCAGTGCGCATCCACGACCCCGCGAGACTCGAATCCAGGACCTATCAGTCTCGCGCCAGGCGCTTAACCAACTAGACCACTGAGCCGGCATCCAATGGTGTTAATGTCTAACCTCAACCAATCCACGAAACTGCGCGACCATCTTCCATTGTACTGAGGTAGGCACCTGTTTCTACCCGACACGGATTAACTCCACTGGTCACGGCTTCTCACCAGAACTCCGAGAATTTTCTCACGGAGCTAGTCACTAGTGAGCACATGGTAATTATCAGTTTATGGGTTGTTGAGATTGTTAAGTTTTTGATTGAAATCATGAGTCAATTTACAAAATTTTTTTAAAAACTGAACCAATTGATTCCTATAATGCACCGAAATAGAATAAATTGCCTACTGATTCAAATATTATCTTGAGTACTTATATAGTAATAATCAATAGATATAGAACTTTTTGGTGATCTGCAACTTTTAAAGCATAGTACTATTCACAGTTCTTCTTAACTACATGAAAGGTCAGAAATCCTACTAGTCTTACTAAGTTCAATATAAATAAAATGGCTGCCATTAAGAGAATGTCGTGTTTAAAGCAAATTATATTTCTACTATTAATTGTTTAGTATGTATTTATTTCATTTTTAGTAACCATTTAATAAACTGTTCTTTTTACTGGCATTATGATCGTTGTGTTTGGAAAGCATTATACGTGATAATATGTATTCTGAATGAATCTGTTATTCTTATCAATTTTAACCACATCATCTTATTATCGGTAAACAATCTCATTGTTAGGCCTTTTAATCATCCGTTCCCAATTGTTTTCTAACATTTTAATAAAGTTGGTTTTAATCTCACAGCATATTGTAATAACATTGTTATATTTACTATTCAAATATCTCATATTAAACTATCGTAATGACCGTAGAAAGCAAAGATTAGCACAATCTTGCTCTAAATTTAATACAATACTGTTAATTATTTTTTAACATAAAGTCCAATTCGTATTGATTTCTAATTAGTTTTTAGAAATCTAGTCACTGTTGAATAAATATGGTCATTTTCAGGTTATTATTTAATATGCACATTTGTTTTATGGTGAATTGGAAAGAAAACATCAAACCGAATTCACTTTTTAGTAATTCAGATCAATAGTGGGACATGCAAGGTAATAAAAAGTTTCTTGATATTAATTCATCAGTGAAAGTATAGTATAGAGGTTGAACTTAAAACAATTGCAATTCATTTTCAGACAGTTATTAGTCAATCAGAAAACTTTGCAAGATTCTATAGTGGTTAAAAGTAATATTTCGCAATTATTCTAAATGTTTTGAGTAGTATGAGGAGATAATTATGCTGGTTGTTATACGTGAAATTTGAATTTCTTGCTAAAGCCTAAAAGTCGCATTTGTGATTCTGATTGATTTATCCTTATACTAGACTTTTACCAATTTATCTTCAATTACATATTTTGAATTCATTCAGTTCATAAACAAAATGCTCGAAACTAAATGAATTTTAAATTCATTATGAATATCTGTGAGAACAGGTATTATGATAAATGTGCATTTACGCTAGTTGTAACTGACTCATTTTTAATTTATTGTGTCGTCTCTATAATATACGAGAAATATGGATTTAGTCAGTGTTACATGTTATTTTACCAATTCATTAAACATTCTGGTTACATTATGGCTATTTTCTTGAAAATCCTTTATCCTCATACTTGTAGATCACCTATTCTTTAACTGTACAAATATTACAATTCATTGTTCCTATTTTTAGTCTGTTCTAATTGGCTAATCATTAATGTTAATCTCTTCGATATTCTAAAACACTTTTATGATAAGCTGATATCATGTATTAAATAATAGTCATCAAGTTCAAACCGTACTGTCACGGCGTTTGGTTTGTTTTCCTCTTCATATGTTTTCGAGAAATGAAAAGTAGTTCAAACGTCTAATGTATTATGAGATGACAAAATGTGACCAAAGAAAACCATTTACGGATGAAAACTAATTCCTGCTAACTAATATTAAAAGATGTTTTCATATATTTTTGTGAATATTAACAAGTTAAATGGGTATTAAATGCTGATTTGTTAAAATACTGCATACTTATACAGAGAATTCTTCACTGCAATCAAACATACGGTATTGAATTAAACAACTATGGTTATTATTTGTTATTTTCTTCAATAAATTGCTGTTGGAATTCGCAGGTTAACGACAACGTATTATCAGCTAAAGTCACGGTTCACAGTTAGCTGGCAGTGAAACATGGCCGGTAAGAGTAGAGGATATTCGTAGGTTACTAGTATTCGATCATAGGTGTCTTCGAAACATTGCTCGTATATCATGGGACCATCGAGTAAGTAACTCAGTTGTTAGGAAACGGGTACTAGGTAAGGATGGCAAATCAATTGATGAAGTAGTGAAACTTCATCAGTTGAGATGGCTTGGACACGTGTTACGTATGCCCAACGACCGACTGCCTCGACGTGCTATGTTCAGTGGTATAGGAGTAGGTTGGAAGAAAGCTAGGGGCGGCCAAACCAAAACATGGCACAAGTCCATGAAGTCACTGACAAGTGAACTGAGTCATGTTGGTAGGTGTAGACTACCTGGTTGGGGACCGCGAGATGATAGCAACCGATGGTTAGAGACCCTGAATGACATGGCTCAAAATCGTTTGCAATGGCGCAGGTGCATCCACTCTCTGTGTTCTCCCAAATTTTAATCTTCTGAATCCTTCATGTCCGTTTTTTCCTCTTTCCAAATTTATTTCACTGGATTATACTCGTTAAATAACATCTCCAAACCCTAATCTTCCCGATTACTGCTTATACTCTTGCTACCTCTACCACTACGGGATTTGAATCGACAACTGCATCTCTGTGCTAATGTGGTGTGGCAACTCGAACTGATGTACATACGTACGAAGTTCTACGTTGTTACTGACTGACTGACTGACTGAACCTAAATTACAATATTAATTATTCAGCTGCTGTGAAATTACTGAATGTAAGATTAAATAATTCTGATCCTTAGTGCCTAACCTCAACAGTTATGACCTATTCATCTTATCATAACTTAAGAATATCAATCTAAGTGGATCCACAACTTTCAATTTCAGAGAACTAGAAGTGTTTCTATGTTAATTCCAAGTATAGTTAGTAATACAGCCACAGTATGATAACCAAATTCGACTCATAACATGCGTAAGTGAAAAAAAGCCAGCAATACTTCAACTTCTTTCGCATTATTTAAGTATACAGTTAAAGTGTTCAGTTCTAGTACATAATTGGAAACCTGTTTATTATAAAATTAATAATGTGAAATATGACTTTTTAGTCTACACTAATAAGGAATAAAATTTATAAATAAATGGTTATTCTTACATGTAAACAAATTCGTATTGATGTATTTTATTGTCAGTGACAAAGTATAAATACGAATGTAAAACCAGTTTTTACTAAAATAACAAGATGTTTAATTTTCATAATAAAATGAAATATTAGATCTGTATCAATAGAGTTTGTTGCGAACTAGATTATATAAAACAATTGGTTATTCATTATAATCATTTCAAAGACTCAGACAAATAGTTGTATAGAAATTCCTTACAAATTTTACGTCAGCTGTTTTAACGATGCTATTGACCAGTGAGTG